TTTTTTTTTTTATCGTGTCACGATCCAACGTCGCACACAGTAACACACTGAGAGAGGAAAGGAAAATGACAACCTTGAACCTCGAGCCGTTATAGCCGGCGAGTTAAACTTTGACTCTAGCGACGAGTTTTTGCCGGACTTGGCGCATCGACGGCGCGACTTGGCGAAGGAGAAAAAAAGAGTGATCACGTGGCGATACGGTGGCAATCGGTCGACTCACCTTGTGATGCTGCATGATGGCAGTGGCCTTTCGCTTGGCGGACATTATTCAGTCCCGGCGAGCCTGTCTTTCTTCCCCTTGTGTGGCAGCTCGTGTCTCCTTCTTGCCGCCGTTCCGCGGTTAGGCTGCTCCGTCACGCGCGCGGCGTTATCAGCGTTCACCCTTGTGATTGATGGCGAACGACGAGCTCGGTACACCCGAAATGTAAACACACGGATCTGCGATGTTTCGCGGAACGCCGTTTCGCGCGTTTCGACCTGTCCTTACGTCTTTTTCTGTCCGTTTTCCAGTACGATTCCCGGAACTCGGTCCTTGTATCCTCGATTCAATCGCGAAACGATAACACAGAGAGACGGGGAGAAAAAAAAATATAAACGAAGAGATGCCTCGCGCACACGTCACGATGGGCACGTTTTACCCGCGAACTTTTCCTCGGAGTTCTCGGCTTTTCGCTGCGTCTCTGTCTGACACCCGCGCCTCCGTCACCGTTTTAGTTAGACGCGTACGCACAACGCGCGCCACTGTCCTTGTCCCGCGCACAATCCGCGAACTTTAAGCTCGCGCACACAACACCACGCAGCAGCGGCGACGCGAACTGCCGCGATAAAATTCCCGCGGTTGCCGCAGGTGTCGGCCGTAGATGGCCGCGAACGAGGAAAAAAAGGGCCGTTGCGGTGTGTGTGCCCGCGCGCGGAAACTGTCTCCCCTCGTCCAACTGCGATTCGATCTTCCGCTCACGTACGCGATACTCCACGGACGAGCTGACTCTATAAAGTCCATCGAGCCGATGCAACACTGCCAGAATCACGATCAGCTGGTCGATCGAAATGTTCGTGCATCACGCGGGGACACTGACACACCGACGGGGACGACGGGTAACCTAACCCCCACGCCGCGCGAACGTTCCAACAAAGATCGTCTTTGGTGAGTGAACACGTTAATCAGTAGCCTCCAGTCTCTGGAAACGTCACACACAGTGGCAAACAGAGTGCCCACGAATGAGCCAAGGACAAGCCTTGCGAGACGCACAAGCGAGAACGAGTAAGAGAAAGAGACAGAGAGAGAGAGAACGATGCTGTGGTGTTCCTTGTCGCGCGAGGGACGCTCGTGTTCCTCGTGTAAACGTGGCGTGCCGGCGCACACCGCGGGTTTTTTCGATTGTCGAAATATCGTAGTCCAAGTAGTATAGTACACAGTCAGTTCTCGACGATCCACGATCTCAGGGTCTTTCCTCCTCCTGGATGGAAATAATCGTCGATATCACTCGGACAATCGATCGACAAACCTTGTTCCTCTGTCTGTCTGTCTGTACGCGGACAAGGGAGCGCGGGTTGCGTGCAAAATAAACGCGTTCTTCCCCCGACTGCTAGTGCGAGTGCTGAAACAGCGCCACGCTCCTAGACGAAATCATAGAACGTCCTCACATCACGAGCGCTCACGGCAAACTGGCGACTGGCGACGCGGCGGCGACCCCCCTCCCCTCGTCCGCCTCACCCTTTCCACCTCTCTCCACACCGCCTCCGCGCCGCTCCCCTGTTCCTCTCAACTCCCCCACGTCTCCTCACCCCAACCACGCCAACCTCACTCCACGTTTCACCCATACCCCACTCACTCACTCACTCACTCACTCTCTCTCTCTCTCTGCCTCTCTCTCTATCTCCCCCTCTATCTCTCTCTTTCCTTCTCTTTCTCCTCGCACCGGTACTCCGTTCACGGCTCTCTCTGTCTCTCTCCCTCTCTCGCTCTCTGTCATACCCTCTCCCCGCCCCCAATTCCCATTCCCTCGTCCCGTCTCTGTCTCTCCCTAATGCCGCGCCCTGCTATGACCCGTACCGCTCTCACTCCCCAGAGCGGTCCTCCTCGAACGCGTCAACCCTCTCTCCTTCACCCCTTGCTATTCCTTTCTGCCCGCTGTCTCTGTCTCTCTCCTGCTCGTTCGCTCCCTGATCCGCACCACCTGTCTCTTTCTCTCCCTCTATCTGTCCATTGCCCTCTCTCTCTCTCTCTCTCTCTCTCTCTCTCTCTCTCTCTCTCTCTTTCTCTCTTTCTCTCTTTTTCGCTCTATTCAGCCAACTGTCCGTCTCGGTCCTTCCTTTCCACCGTTCCAGCGCCCTCGCCGGTTCGCCTCGACCCTCCCCGGCCCACGGCGGTGGCGGCGGCGGCGGCGGCGGCGGCGGCGGCGGTAAGGTAGGGTCTGTCACCATCAGAACACCGAAGGGGCCGGTGGACGGGTAAACTCTCCGAGGGAAAGGAGGGATCGAAAGGGGCGCAAGGGGCCGCACACGAGCATCCACACAGGGCTTTCTGATGGGTGGAGGGGGGGGGGGGGGGGGGGGGGGGAGAGAGTGGCGGCGGAAGGGGGGAGGAAGGGAGAATCGAGAGAGAGTACCTTTGGCTCTGGGTGTTGGGGTGAAGGGGGACAGGCAGGAGTGTTGCGCGCGAGGGGCAAGGGACGCTGGCACTCATCGGCCGAAGGGGCTTCCACGGGTGTGTTAGGCTTGTGCTTAGGAGGGTATGTGCACGCCACTGCTACTCGCCTCTCTCTTTCTCTCTCTCTGTCTCTCTCTTGCTCTCTCTCACTCGCTCTGTATGGACACGTCCCCGCGTGTCTGTATGGATACGTGGACGGACGTACACGGGATCCGTGCTCTCTGTTGCTAGCTGTCTATCTGTATGTCCATCTCTGTCCCCTGCCCCTTCTCTCTCTCTCTCTCTCTCTCTCTCTTTCTCTCTCTCTCTCGTGACACATCACTGCTGTGTGCGATATCGTTGCGCGCGGTTCCGCTCTCCTCGTGTGTGCGCGCAACGCGACTTACACGCACGCCGCTGATGATGACGAGTCATCCGAGAGGCGAGTCTCGAGTGCGTGTTCCACCACGATTCTTTAATGGTCCGTCTTTCGAGTTATTAGCCGGCCGAGCTAACGGCCTCTGCCTCGACCACCTGCGGGCTCGATAAGGGAGGATACACGTCCGTGAGGGTGTCCTGCTTTGACTCTAGCGGCACCGGTCTCCGGTGAACGTGCGGCAACCGATGGTTTTCACAACGAAGACTTTGTTCTCGATGCCTGGAATACGTAGGGAACCGTACTCTTCTTAGGACGGAGAGAGGCCTGTGTGCCATTCTACGGTTTCGTTCCTCTTCCGAGGATGCCGCGTTTTCAATAGAAATCGCCGTAAGAACGACTCGAAGAGGGGAAAAGGACACGAAACGTCGTCAATTAAACTCGATTTATTTCAAACACGTTCCCTTCGAACTGGTATGCCAGTTTATCGATCAGAGCGGATATACGAATAGTTGTACTCCTCGTATGGTTTACCTACATGTTAGGTAAGAAACAATTTCTCAAACTAGAAAGAAAGAAACTTTTTCCAGAGCCGGTTTCGATTCGAGTAATATATATATATATATATATATATATATATATATATATACACACACACACACACACACACATATATACATACGCAACTCACCACGTGCTCTCGAAACTCTCTCACACGTTATGTTCTTTTATCGAGATCCGAGCATATCGGAGCGGCAGCGTAAAATATGTAGCGTGGCAAGTGACAGTTCGTAGAAACTTGATATATTTCCTGTCAACACGTAACACCTCCGCAGGCTCTACACTTACGGTCAAGCATCTTGCTCGCGGTCTATAATCTCTTTGGCATAGTCGGGCTGTCGGGAATTGGCACTCGAAGTTTTGCCGTTAGTTATTTTCGTCTGCCGCCAACGACAGGAACGTCGTGCCACGTCGTCTACCTTCCGTCAGACACCTAACGAACCGCGGGAATTACCGCCCCTATCAATTCCGTTTCAACGAATGAGACCACCAATCGGAGTCGGAAGCCCGATTCGCGCCTTCCCCTCTGCCTCTCCCTCGTTTTACGCGTTACGTCGCGCGACGTTTCGCGTAACAGGGCTGTCGGCTCCGCTCCGGGAAAGGGCATCCACCGTTTTATTAACGAGTTCATATTTCATTCGCGACCATCTCCCCGCCTTCCTCCTCCCCCCTCGCCCGTCTTTTTATATCGATAATCAGATTAAAGCGTGTCTGCGGTACCCTTTTTAAACGGCGCTCATTAGCCGGTAAATTGAAAAGTCGCAGGCAGGCAGGCAGGCAGGCAGGCATAAAGCCGCGTCCCCACGCGCGAGATTGTTTCTAATTCTTGCGGCCGCGCGCCGATAGGGGCGGCGGGGCGGCTTATCGGCCGGCGGCCGTACACGCGATAACGATCTAAGCAACAGTTTGCCGCGGGGGCGGAAAACTTCGGGACACGGCGGCGCATAAAAAAGCTGGAAACTTTCCGGTGAAAGTGCGATCTTCCGCTTTCGATTCGACTGCCACCGCTGTCGGTGGGAAGGGACGACACCCACCGCCAACCCCTACTCGAACTACTACCGCCTGGTGTGTACGTACGAGAAATTGCGCGTTCGATCGACCGCTTTTTGCGCTTCAGCTCGCTCCCCGAGTTCATCGATTGTTTTGCGCGATTGCTTTTATGCTTCTTCTTCGTTACGATGCCACGTTGGGCTATCGCCGATGCGCGTTGAAAGAATTTCGGCGACACGAAGAAGAGCGTGCGTACCGTAACGCGGATGATGAGAATCAAATTCATGGAAGACGTTTCAACGTTCGTGGTGCCCGTGGGAATAATGCTGATCGAACTTCGACTGTAAGAAGTTTATCATAATTTCAGAGTTGAAATCAGAAATGTCTGTCCTCTCAATGAAACTTTAGAACAGACATAATGTATACTGCGATATCGCGAGCAACTTTTATATTGGTGGATCCAGAGGCTTAGGTTTTATATAAAAAGAAAAATTGGACAATTATTATTACAGATAATGTTCGACAATTTAAGTAAAATCAAATATAATGTTATATTTTGCAAAAATTAAACATCGTCGAGTGGTATATTTCAATATGTAAAATTCATGGCAGTCAACGTGTTAACAGATGTAGCTGTATTGTTCTTGTAACAATCTGTTGCTCCGAGCCGATCCTGAGTACCGTGCCGTACTGTTTTTACATAGCAATGAATCGCGGCGTTCCTCTGAATAATAGTAAACGCATATCGGAATATTCGATCGCCGAAACTTCTTCGACGGCAATCCACAAGAACGAGACGGAACAGTGAAAGAGCCTTCTTCATACTTTTTACGAATCGTTTGAGCCGGATGTACGACGTCGTAGAACCCTTACAAAAGTTCCGATATGACGGTTTGTTACGTTGAAGATCGACTGCACGACTCTCGAGTAAAATACTGTGTTAATTCGAAATGTACGTCTTACGTCATGTCAAAACGTACGAGATAATTAGTAGATACGTTTTGAAAGTATTCGCTGTAAAGCAATTAACACTTATGAACCTATTTGAAGATGCATTTATGCACGCACGCGTTAAATACTCATTTTATTCTTTCAACAATTAATCCATGTTATATACTCCGCGTATAATAGACGTCGATCTATTATGTAATACCGTTGTGTACAATCTTGCGTACGCTCTTATATCTGTACAAGATGTACATCTTGGTTTCGACTTGTCGGCGAATCAACATACAACTCTCACGTGCCCCGTACGTTTCAACCATTTTCCACTCCGAACATCTCGCAACTCCCACGACCGACTTCAATCTCCCATCAAATATCTTCATTTGCGCAAGCTTTCGTAGCTCCACCGCTGGCTTCTGCCGTTCTAGGGAACAGCGAGGCGCAGTTAGGAGCGGAACGAGTTAGCCAGGCAGCACGCCAAACGAACTTTCTCAAGGCGCAAAAAGCCACGAGAGGAGCTGCGTTTCTTCGTCTAACCGTGTACGTACACGTACACACACGGATGTATGTACATACACACATATACATGTACGTATATGTACGTATACCATATATCCGCGTTCGCGATGCAAGCGGCGCGCTCGCGCCCTCGCAACGTGTCATCCCACGAGGGAACAAAGACCACTCGACCCATCACACACCCCCGCACACTTTCAGAAGCATCGAACCGCACCGCCTCCCACGCCCCACCGACCCCTTCGTCCTCGACAAAAAACTACGTCCCGTCCGTGTCTGAAAGCGGTCGAATTAGATCTATAATACCCAGACCCAGGCCGCTCTCCCTCTCTCCCGCCCCCCGCCCCTTCCACTCCCAATCCTACACCCCCCCGGTGCCATGCCGCTCGCCTGTATACGTGTGTCCCGTTTTCCGATGCGACCATAATGCAACGCCGGCCTGACGTTTGGTCGGTACTCGTACCTAATACGAGCGGCGGCTCGTCGCACCATGTACTGGATCCATTTACGCTGCTATCGACGCAAGATACGCGCGTGCATTTCGCGCAGCGTTCCATCCGCACACACGCGAGCCCGGTACGCGCCGTACACGAGCACGGAAGCACCGGCATATACCGGTGGAACACGCGCGTTTACGCGAAGCGTGCAACCTGCCTGCCCGTGCC